GATCAATAAAACGATCTATTTATATAAAGCCTACATGGACAGGACAGTATCTTAATTATCACAGTTTCTAACATGTTCGGTACAAAGGAGCCTTAGTGAGTGAGGTGCCTCTTCACTAGAATCCAACGAATATGCACTGCAGACACACTTGATGAAGAGGAAAGGAAGTTTTTTTTATTTACAGCTTGATTCCACACTGTATTTTTGGTACAGGTATGGAATTTCAGCATGGATATCGGTAACCCAAATTTTGCAGGCCGACCATAAATATCAGGTGTGCACCGGCGTGGGCTCGAACCCCGGACCATGTGCATGGTCAACGGGAGTCCTAACCACTGTGCCACCGACGCACAGACTAGCTGACACAAATTCTGGTTGATAACAATTATCCAGACAAGTTCATCAAGAGATATAAAGTGGTCAGTGGAACCCCAAGACCCACTCTTCAACTTGTCACTAAGATAGACGTGTACATCAAACTACCCTATATGGGGAATCATAACAACTCGATAACTAGACAAAGATTGAATGATGCTGTTAAAAAGACTTTTTATGCAGCTAATATCATAGTAATTGAGAATGTGAAGCCAATATATCCATCTAAGCCCTTTAAACATGTGAAAAATCATGTCACATCCCTCTGTATTTCCCAATTTGAATATCTGTGTGGCCACAAATACACATAGGGAGGACTCAGCGATCTCTGGAATTAAGGGTTTCAGAGGATATTCCTAAATGGCTATTTCAGTAGCAAATATAATCCTCAGAATGATGAGAACAGGAGACCTAGCTCCTCTATCGCGAAACTTATTATAGAGACAAGACATAAAATTGATGTTTATACGTCTTTTAAACTTATCAGAACTTTTAACTACCAAACAATACGATATATGTCTTAACAATTTATTAACTCTTATCAGTACATCAATTACTGAATTTTTCAACCGATTACATTAGCAATAAGAAATGAAGGGAGTCAGTGAACTCTTTAACAGAATGAAGACACCATTCAGTTGAGAGACCAGCTATAACCTTTAATTATTCACGTTAGAAGCGGCAAAGACAGGACTCCAGGTGGACAGAGACAAGACGGAGGTGATGAAAATAGCCAACCAACCAACAACAACAACAGCAACATCCAGCGCCAATCACCATCAATGGGAGGGATTTGAAAGAGGTTAGTTACTTCATTCACTTATCTAGCTAGAGAGCATTGTCTCAACTACAGGAAGTCGAAACGGACGAGGATGTCAAATCGAGCGAGAATCGGGAAGGAAGGCGAGAAACACACTCATCAACCTAAAACCAATCTGGAAATCTCCGTCACTCAGCCAGCATCAACAACAAAATCCAGTCGGATTTTCAGTACAAACAACGTCAAGTCAGTCAGTTCTTCTATACGGAACGGATCAGAAACTTGGCGGACGGGCGGGTCACAAAGAATATTTCCAACAGCCTGTTGCAGACCAGACCTTTATCAACAACTGTCTTCGCTGGCTCTATACTGAAGATCAGATGGCCGGGCCGGGCGGGAAAGAATCACCAACAAGAACAAACTATGGGAACAAAAGAAACAAACCAAGAAGCAATCGCCAACCAACAAATATGCAGGAGAAAGTGGAGATGGACTGGATATTCGCTGAGGAGAAGGCCGCTGGGTGACATCGCGCGCGGTTCAGGCCATTGCTTGAGTGGAACTCGAAAGGGAAGCGGCGAGTGGGACGTGTCCAAGGGTGGGTGACCTAGAGGAGATCGTGTGAAGAGAGAGGAGTTGAAACAGTATGGACTAACATGGATGCAGGTGAAAAGTACAGCAGAAGGAAGACAGAAGTGGCAAGTGGAGACGTGGAGTTGAAGCCCTATGTTCCACTAGGAACCTAAGGGAATAATAATAATAATTCACGTTAATGACAACATGCATACAGACGAAGGAGATTATAGTTCATGTTGATTACGTCATAGGAAAAGAGCCGACAGACAAAAGTATTGGAAGGTCATCTACTTCAATTCCATTTATTGTTCTCCAACGATGCTTACTTGAGTAATATCGATTTATAAAGTGAAACGTTTGTTATTTTTTTGGTTTGTTTGAAAAAACATTTAACGTACGTCATAATAAAATATCCATGAATGAAATTTATTGCTTACATAAGAGAAAGCATATCGAAGGAATGCATTTCATCAATCAGTGATATAAGATACCTTTGAGTGATTTTTTCTCTCTGTGCCTCTCTCTATCTCCCACTCTTTCATCTGTTTACATTGTAATTGGAGACGATGAAAAGGAATTTCTTCAGAAAAATTTTTTTAAAAATTGTAATAGTAATAGTTCTAAACATTTTAAACAATAGCTAATTATTAAATAACGAATATTTCTTTCTGTCAGTCTATTTAAAACTGGTTTAATTCATAATTCATAAATTATCTGTGCAGATTATTAGGCGTGAAACATCTCATTTGCGTTGATTTTAAAAATGGCGGCATGTGTAATTTCCCTCCGGCGCCAAATTGAACATTTAATCATTGAATAATGAAAGCCTATTGAATAAATTGCTGTTATTTCGTTTAATTTAAAAACTTTTAAGCATTGCATTGACAAGTAAAAGGAAAAATAAGAATAATTTAAACGAACAACTATCTTTTAATAAATTCTTCTTCAGGCTCTACAGTTATAAATCAATGAATATAAGAATACGATAACGAGTAAAGGGAAATCAAAAGTCTATCAGAGATTATATTAGCATACAAGTATAGGATACCTTGAAGTTTTTTTTTGGATGAAAAACTCAAACAATGAATACTTATTAATCGGACATGAAAGATTTGATAGCATTCAACTGTCACTGTTGGTATATGAACTTCTAAATGTTTACCGACGTAGCACAAGTATAGATCAACACTAGTTCATATCCATTGCACAATAACTGACTATTATGAATCAAAAGCAACTCTGTAGTATTGAAAAAACGATGAGTATCAAGTTCGAGTATAAATGAAGAAGCAATATAACTCATTCACTAAGAAGAAGATAAATCCAATCTTGCAACTCTTAATAAGAAGGATAAAAAGTCAGTCATAGATTTCAGAATAACATCACAATAATTTGTGATCATCTTAGAAACTTTCTAAGTTCTCAAGACAAAATAAGTATCCTTTGACATCATTAATTTCACAAAAGCAAACATGACAGAAACTGTCATTATTTGTTTGTCCGTACTTATAGTTTCTCGTTATAGATTTATTCGGAAACAACTGTTCTGTCCCTGTTAGCTCAGGAATTTCTCAAATCAATCGGCAACATTCAACTACACATAAAAACGGATAACAACTGATTTCCCCCTGTATATTTAGCGTTTAGAACGATGAGTGCTGGGTCTGAGACTTCATGAGAACACTGTTAGCACGTTCTGATGACGAGTCACAGGCAGGAAGAAATACCTTCACTGAATTCCACTGCCAGCCATCAAAAAACACAATGAAGCATCGTTGTCACCTAAAAATGCCTTAATCGTTTTAAAAGAGAAACACTTATCCAAGTTTAAATACGTTTTCATCTCAAATATTTATGTTAATCCTGACTGTTCTGACTCGGATCTATCTCATTTTGCTGATGAATTCACTGAATTCACCGTTACACACCTTGAAAACTCTTTATCAGTTGTCACAGGAGATTTCAACTACTGTGGTTGTTCTTTCCTTGTATCATTGGATCATGTGAATATTGTTAAATTTCCTACTCGACTTGATAAAACTCTGGGTCTAGTGTTTATTAATGATGAGGAAATACATGTAGTACGCAGACATGCTCCTATCATGAACTCAGATCATTTTATTATTCGGATATTACCTAAGATATACAGCAGATCTCACTTTAATATCTTCTCAAATCTGTCTAAGGAAACACAGCAAAGGTGTTACTCACAAGAAAATATGCTCAAACTAAGATGTATGCTAAATGACACTAACTGGGAACTTTTCAACGAACACAAACTGGATGATACTATTTCCAATTTGACTGACTATCTTAAATTCTGCCTTGATATATGCTGTCCAAAACAGATAATTTTCAAAAGAATGGATCGTTTCGCTTCCCCTCATCTCAAAAAACTTAGTAGAGAAAAAGAGAAGCTGTACAAGACAAAGAATAAATCTGGTCTTAGGAAGATAAACATCCAAATTAAATCTGAAATCAATAGACTAAACAACATTTATAATCAAACAATATTGTCTTGTAAAACCTCAGAAAACATATGGAAGCTTTTTAGAGAAATTACTGGTTGTGGTAAGCATGGTAATTTTGCTTCTTCTGTTGATGTAAATACTCTCAATAGATCTTTTATCCGCCCTCCAAATGTCCCCTCTGCCTTCAATTTAACTAGTAAGACGACCAGTGACTTTTATGGTTTCAATACTTCTGATGTTCTTAAATGTTCAAAATCTCCTAAACCTTCCCAGAGTCTAGGCCCTGATGGTATACCTGCCATTGTTCTAAAGAAATGTGCTGATATTTTAAGTAACCCACTTGCAAGTATTTTCAATACTTCTTTTTCTAATAATGTTGTACCTTCTCTCTGGAAAGATATTAAAATCATCCCTGTACCCAAGTCTGGTTCTGGAGATAGTGTTAAGTTTAGACCAATTGCCATTACCTCTCCTTTTTTGAAACTGATGGAGAAATTACTGTTACAAAAACTCATTCCCTCCCTAAGCTTCTCAAACGATCCAAAGCAGTTTGCTTACAAACAGGGTAGAAGTACTTTGGATGCTGCTGCTGTGTTTCATCACAACATTGTATCCTCCTTAGACAAAGGGGCCAAGTATGTCCGTTGTACTTTCCTTGATTACACATCTGCTTTTGACTCTGTACCTAGAGGCCTTTTGTTAAACAAGCTTAGCCTTACACAAACTGAGTCCTGGGTTATCAACTGGCTGCACTCTTACTTCTCCAATAGGACGCAGCACACGGTATATAATGGTGTAACTTCCTCTCCTTTGCTTACTGAAGCTGGTGTTCCTCAGGGTGCTGTTCTCTCGCCGTTTCTCTTTTCCTTCTTCTTACATGACTTACCTCTCTCAGACGAAATCAACTTCGTCAAATATGCAGATGACCTGACTGTTTCGCTTCCCGTTAAGTCTCAGTCAGACTGCTTCAAATTAAATAGCTTCCTGTCGGACATCAGTCAGTGGTCTAAACTAAATGGCCTCATGCTGAATCCCTCAAAATGCCAGACTATTGACTTCTCCTTTAGGCATAAACGAGATCTACAAACACTAGTAAGCACTCATGATGCCTGTAGCATTGAGGGGACTAAAATTGAAACTACGTCTAATGCAAAATACCTCGGATTAGTTCTATCTTCCGACCTTACTTGGTCATCTCATATCCTAACGATTTCTAAGAAAGTGTTCCGTCTAACCTACTACATTAAGAAACTCAGACTATCTGGAATCACCCAACCTCTACTTTCACAATTTGTCAACTCTCGTATCCTACCTATTCTACTTTACTGCTCCCCGTTAGTCTTTCCTGGGTTACTGAAAAAGGACTATACCATCCTGAGAAGGATGTTGAAGGTAGTTAGTAGGACTAGCGGTGTAAAACTCAGTCAGCTCGTCACTACATTAGTGGATAAGCATCTGAATACATGCGAGAAATGGACTAAAACCATACTCTCTGACCCCCAACACCCCCTCTATTCCCAACTCTCTCCTTGCATCTCATCAGGTAGAACCAGAAATCAGTACAAAATAATATATGCTCGTACAACCAAGTATAGGAACTCAACGATACCATATTTGGCCCGTGTTCTAAGTGACAGAGACAATGTTAAGCGTGAAACCTATGACTTGCTTTGTTGTTAATAACATAATTTTGGCCCTAGTTATTTCCTCCTTACACTCTCTTATTTGTACTCTATAGTGAACAACCTTCTTAAACATACTTAGCTACTTAATATTATTATCATTGACTTACTTTTTTGTACTTTACTCTATTCCTTCTTTTGTATATCTACTGGGTCCGACTATATTATCACTATGATTATTACAAAATTGTCCTGTCATTAACCATCATGTAATATCAATTTTTGTGGTTGTTCTTTGTTCGGCACTATTTAACTGACAATCTTGTTTGTGAACGCCACTATCCCCATCTTAAAAAAATTTGTATTATGCATGATTACTCACACTACCACGACTAACACTGCATTAGTGCTGACAATAGAAAAACACAACCTGAAATGTTTTATTTTATGATTGTTTAGTGTTGTTCAATCAAATTAAGTGATCATATTAGCTATTAACATTCTTAAGAACATCTCATAACTTCTTGTATGATTATAGCTGTTACTGTTCACCACGCACACACATATCATAGCTTCCACTACCCAGTACTGAAATATTTTTTCATTATTGGTGTTTATCTTCCTTTCTACTTGGTATTTTTATTTGCATTTTTTTTGTTATTTCTGTGTTTCTTTTTTTGGTTTTTTGCTGTTTTTTATATTTATTTATTTTTTTGCAATACTCCTTTTAAATGTACGATGAAATTAGATGCAATATTGTAGATATGTGCTGAAAATCCCACACTGTACCACAAGTACCGTTTCTGGAATAAAGCGAAATTGTTAAAAAAAAATTAAGAAAAACGTAAAGTCAGAAAGAATATTCAATAGTGTGATATGATTCAAGAAATTTAAGTTTTACTCCTTCGTAAACGGAAACCATCTATTGAAGCATTAAAAACTTAGATCTGTCGGATATCTGTTTTATTGGTTGGAGGATTTCAACATGAGCTGAAATTTGTTAGAGAACCATTGGAAATCCTGCAGGGAGTACTAGACAGCTGTTTCGCCCTAGTTCGGCACTTTTCACAGTACGCACCCACAGTCAGGGTTCAAACCCAGTACCTTCTGGCTATAAGGCGAGCTCGTAGACTGTTAAACCACTGGGATCCTATCCAATGTTTTGTTATAATTAAGGACTCCTTGGTAATGTACGTCCATGACCAGTGCTTATCCGTTTTCAGTGATTCTTCTAGCGCGCGCTTTTCGACTATTACGCTACATTTTGGTCATAAATAAAATATCTTATTACTCTAAAATTTTATGCAAAGTGTTTGCGGAAATTATCACAATTATTAACCTTTCGAACACTGAATCCAAAAAATACAATCTTATTGACAGATAATACACATAACTCACTGTTTGGATTTGTGGAATTTTTAAACATAAACACATCTATAATTGTATATATTGTTGGATTTATATGTTCAAGTTGCTCCAAGTCAGTGAGTTTATGGTTAAGATATCATTTTAGTTAATATACTGAACTATATTGCATGTTGTCTTATTGTATAGTTGTCGTCGCTTTTTGCCCTTTTTTCTGTGAACTGTTTCCTTTGTTGATGTTGTTCTCATTGTTTGTCCGTTATTTTCTGATTTTGAGGGGAGCAACCCAAAAAGTTGCTTCTCTCTAAACTTTTACTTAATGTAATCATTCTTTTCTCAGGCGTGAGGCTAGCAACCCCACCCTGTAAACAAAAATTGCTACAGAACTTCAGTATGTGAACCTCCTTGCACCAAAAGAAAAAGTCTGTGTAGGAACATGGAACGTTCGAACTATGTACGAGACTGGAAAAGCTGCCCAGATCGCCAACGAGATGAAAAGATACGGAATACAAGTGCTGGGAATATGTGAGAGCAGATGGAATGGGAGTGGACTCACCAAATTGTCAACAGGTGAGTCAGTGATCTACTCCGGTCACCCAGAAGATAACCACACGCACACCGAGGGCGTGGCTATCATGATGTCACCAACGGCAACGAAAGCCCTGATACAATGGGAGGCGATTTCGTCCAGGATAATGACCGCCAGGTTCAACTCCAAAGGAAGGAAAGTGTCAATCATACAATGTTATGCACCCACAAACAACGCAGACCTCGAGAAGAAAGAAGAATTCTACAGGCAACTACAGGCAACAATGGACAATACTCCAGCTGGCGACATGAAAATACTAATGGGAGACATGAACGCCAAACTGGGACCAGACAATACGGGAAGGGAACTCATCATGGGTAGAGAAGCTCTAGGAGAAATGAATGAAAACGGAGAACTCTTCGCCGACTTCTGCGCCTTCAACGAACTGGTGATTGGTGGCAGTGTATACAAGCACAAAGATATCCACAAGGCTACATGGGTGTCACCAGACGGGCAAACCAAAAACCAAATCGACTTCATCTCAATCTCAAGGAAGTGGAGGCGCAGCCTACTGGACACAAAAGCAAGAAGAGGAGCAGACGTTGGCTCAGACCACTATCTCGTACAAGGGACAATCCAAATCAAATTAAAAGCTTTCAGGGAATCAGGAGCTGCAGATAGACCACAAGCCAAGTTCAACACTCAAAAGCTGAAGGACCAGGCTACAAAGGACATCTTCATTGCAAGCATAAAGGACAAAGCCGAGACACAAATCAACACTAGCGAAGAGGTCGGCGTTGAAAAGCACTGGAACAACTTGAAAACGGTGTGGAGCCAAACCTGCATAGAAATTCTAGGCAGAAAAAAGAGACAGGACAAACAGTGGCTCACTACGGACACTTGGAAACTAATAGAAGAGAGAAGGACAGTGAAGCAAAAGATTATCCAGTGCACGGACGAGCAACAAAAACAGGAGCTGAATGCAAGCTACAATACACTGAACAAAAGAGTGAAGAAAAGTGCCAGGGAAGACAAAAGAAAATATTATGAAACCATGGCAAACGAAGCAGAACAAGCTGCAGGCAAAGGAGACCTCGCCACACTCTACCAAACAACTAGGAACCTTTCGGGCAAACGTTCGACACAGATTAAGCCAATAAAGGACGACAATGGAAAGTCAATCACCAAAGAGGTGGAACAGAGAAAGCACTGGGTTGAACACTTCAAAAGACTTCTAAATCGTCCGCCACCTACAACACGTCCAGCAATACCAACAACGGAAGCAGAACTACCAGTGAACACTGACCCCCCGACGAAATCAGAAGTCCTGAATGCAATCAAGATGCTTAAAACTGGGAAAACACCGGGACCAGATGGAATCCCAGCAGAGGCTTTGAAAATAGACCCAGAGACAACAGCGGACTTGATGACACCACTACTGGAGAAGGTGTGGAAAGAGGGCAAAGTACCCGAGGATTGGAAGAACAGTTACTTATTCAAACTTCCAAAGAAAGGAGACTTAAGTCAATGTAAAAACTGGCGGGGAATTATGCTTCTGTCCATTCCAAGCAAGATACTAAGTCGCATCATCCTGGAGAGAATCAAACAAGCCCTAGATGAAAAACTTCGTCCGGAACAGGCTGGATTCAGGAGAAACAAATCATGTATTGATCAAATCGCCACTCTACGGATCATCATTGAACAAAGCTTGGAATGGCAGTCACCTCTCTATCTCAACTTCATCGACTTTGAAAAGGCCTTCGACAGCGTCGATCGAGAGGTCATTTGGAAACTACTTCGCTACTACGGGGTCCCATCGACAATTATACACCTCATCCAACAGTTATACGACAATGCTGCATGCCAAGTAATCCACAACGGGAAACTTACGGAAGCCTTCGAAGTGAGGACGGGAGTGAGGCAAGGCTGTCTACTATCACCAATGATCTTCCTGATTGCAATTGATTGGATAATGCGACAGACAACGGCAACCAACGAGGGAACAGGCATAAAATGGACTGACACAAAAGACTTGGAGGATCTGGATTTCGCCGATGATATATGTCTGATTTCCCATAAACTGGAAGATATGCAAATGAAAAGTAACAAGTTGGCAGAAGAAGCATCAAAGATAGGACTTCACGTGAACATAGATAAAACAGAGATGATGAAGATTCCTTGCCAACATCAACAGCAACAACAGACCACAATAAGCATAAATGGGAAGAACCTGAAAGAAACAACCTCCTTCACCTACCTGGGAAGCATCGTCTCAACTACAGGCGGAACTGACGAGGACATCAAAGCCAGAATCGGAAAAGCAAGACAAGCTTTCATTACTCTCAAATCTGTGTGGAGGTCAACAGCAATCAGCATCAAAAATAAGATCCGGATTTTCAACTCCAATGTGAAGTCAGTGCTACTATACGGATCAGAGACTTGGCGAGTCATAAAGAGCATCTCAAACAAACTTCAAACCTTCATTAACAACTGTCTCCGCTCAATACTCAAGATCAGATGGCCAGAAAAGATCAGCAACAGGGATCTCTGGGAGCGAACCAATCAGGAACCGATTGTGAAACAAATAGGCAGAAAGAAATGGAGATGGATTGGCCATACGCTGAGGAAACCATCAAGTGACATCACTAGACAAGCCCTCGAGTGGAACCCGAAAGGGAGGCGGCGAGTTGGTCGTCCAAGGGTGACTTGGAGGAGGTCATGTGAAGAGGAGATGAAAGCATGTGGGCAGACCTGGAGCAGGGTGAAAAAGTTGTCAGAAAACCGAAGTCAATGGAGGTGCGCAGCTGAAGCCCTATGTTCCTCTAGGAACTAAAGGATACAATAATAATAATAATAATAATCTAGATAATAGTGATTTGTGAAATAATAAACTTTGAAGGGATTTGAATCTCCACAAACCAAAAGCCTAATCTATTAAATGGAAACAAATTGAAGTTTCTTTCAAAATGGCATATTCAGTGTGGTTAAATACTTTCAAAAACTGATAGAATGTTTCTACAAAATGTTGTGGGATGTGGAATGCAACCTGACAAACTTAATTGCAAGGGATTATGTACTTTCGATTCATTTTTATTGCCAACGATGTATCTCTTATGCTTCACTTCAAGATCAGAAGGAAGGGATGAAATAAAACTATGGTTTCGAAACATCACTGAAGAAT